TTGTCCCAGTACCATTTGCTGGAAGGACTTCTTTCTCCATTGAATTGCCTTTGCCAGAATTGACTCAATTTGTGAGGATGTATTTCTAGGCTCTCTCTATTGAGGTATTCCTTGTGTCCCCCTCTTCTTTTTATGATACCAGAACCCCAGAACCACACTGTCTTTTTTGTGATTTTTTAGCATATAATAATAGTTGTAAAGGGGGTTACACTGTGATATTTTACATATGTGCTTACAATATAGCTTAGATTTACTCCCAGCCACCATTCTCCCTCTCCCTCTCCCCTCCTTCTTAGGACAATTTCAACAGGTTTCATTCTTCTATTTTCTTTTATGGATACAAAACACATACCCCATGTTCCCTTCGTTCCCCCTTTCCTTGTGTCCTACCCCTCTCCCACTGTACTCACCCCTGGAAAAGATTTAATTTCCCCTCCTGCCCTTCGTTTTCCACTCTGTCTTAATTACCCTTGCTCCAAATAAGTTGTGAGTTCTGGTAGTGTCTAACTTGGTTCTTCGTATTGTGTTGGCTCTTCTGTGTCTTTGCCTTTCCATGTGAATTTTAGAATGGTTTTTGGATATATGCAAAGTAATTTACTGATATTCTGATGGGATGTCTTTGAATCTGTAGCTGAGCTTGGAGAGCACTGATATCTTCACTGTGCTGAGTTTCCCCATTGTACGGAATACATCTTCATTGTTTTACATCTTTGATTTCTTTCAGTGGAATTGTGTACTTTGCTTCGTAGAGGTTAGAGTTATACCCAGTATTACTTTGTTTAGGTGTTATATAAATGCTGTACTGTTTTCTAGTTCAACTTCCAATGGCTCATTGCTGGTATATAGGAGAGCAATCAATTTTTGAATATTAACCTTTCATACTGCAAGCTTATTGTAACACCTTTCTTCAGGGTTTTTGTTGGTTATGGTGTGTTGGGATTTTCTACATAGACAGCCATACCAGCTGCAGGCAAAGTCAGTTTTATTTTTCTCTCCTTTCTAGTCTGTGTACCTCTATCTCCATTTCTTCTTACCTAAGTACAGTGTTGAATAGAAGTGGCAAAGGCTTCACATTAAACAAAAAATGACATGCATGTAAATTCACCCCTTAGAACACCATTTCTTTTTCTTTTTTTTTTTTTTTTGAGGCACGGTCCCACTGTAACTCAGGCTGATCTTGCACTTGCCATCCTCCTGCTTCAGTCTCCTGAGAGCTGGGATTACGGGTGTCCCCCTTCCCTCTCCCTCTCCCCTTCCCTCTTCCCCTCCCCCTCCCTCTTCCCCCACCCCTCTTCCTCCCCCTCCTTCCCCGCTTCTTCCTCCTCCCCCTCTTTGCTTCATTTCTTAATAGTGATTGTTGATTTCCTCTGTGTCCAGAATGTCATGACCACACCTAATATTAACAATAATTTTCCAGCATCGTCTTACACCTGGTTCATATTGAATGGTCCTTTGTACTTTCCTCTTCTTACTCATCTGTGTAAGCCAGGGCCCAGTCTAAGCTGTGCATGTTGTGTGAGGAATGATTTATGATACTTTTGTAATTAAGGAAAAAAATCTCCCCTCTACTTCTCCCTTCTTAAAAAGAAATCTCTTCATAAAATTGACTTGTTGTAGAGGTTGGTGAAAAGAAGGTCTACCTCTCTGAATTCTTTCTGCTAAGTGCATGGCCTCTGTCACAGTGCTGAAATCAGGTGTTTGCTCTAATGAAACCCAGTGTGCTTTATTCGTTCTACTAAATGGAGAATTTGCTCTGCCTTCAGCTGGGTAAAGAATGGGGTGAGCATGGCTACCTAAAGATGACCAGAGATCGGGATAACCACTGTGAGATTGGCACCTGGGCAGCTGCCCCACTCTGTGAGCTCCTGATGGTGACAGGAAGGCATTGATTGAGGACATCATGTTTAGAGGAAGGACATTATCTTCAAATTGACAAGCATATACGGTGTCGTAGCTAACACTTGAGTCATTGATGATCCAACCTGTGATGTGAATTCTATGACATTTTGTACTTGTGACATGGTACCACTGCTGTAAAAGTTGCCATAAACAGATTATATTACTGAATCACCTAAATAAATTGTTGACTATATTTGGTTAATAAAATTGAAAGTTTGTAGAGGTGAAAATTTGTTCTGGTTTTAAAGCACTGATGTAATACACTGTCATCCCTCTCTGAGACAGAACTGAATGTGCCAGTGGGGCACCAGGAGGAAGAGGGGGTGCCTTCTTTCTCCATCATTCATACATATGCAGACCTTATCTCAGGTGTCCAGGGGCTGTTTGAACCCTATCCTAGATTAGAAGAAAACTTGATCAATCTATTATTGAATCCCTTAATAATTTATTGACTTACCTGAATAATAAAATTTAAATTTTGTAAAGGTGAGCTATCTTTCTGTTTTTTTTTAATTATTATTGTACTGGGAATACATTGTGACATTTATCAAAGTTCTTACAATATATCATAGTTGAATTCACTCCCTCCCTCATTCTCCTTTATCCTCCCCTCCCCTCATTCCTGGAATAGTTTCACCAAGTCTCATTTTTCCCTTTTCACTCGTGAGTGTGTAATATTCCACCACATTCACCCTCCCACACTCTTTCCTTATATCCTCCCCCCTCCCACTGATACCAAACTCCAAAGAGGACCTGTGTTACCTTCCTGTTCTCAGTTTTTGAAAAAGACATTTTTGTTTGTATAAGATAACTACACAAGGAGTTTCCTTGTGACATTTCCGTGTATATGTGGGTTATAACCTGAATTGGTTCATCCCCTCCATTTTTCTTCTTTCTACTTAGTCCCCTTCTAAACCTGTGCTTTCAAAAGGTTTAAAAAATTCTACATTCATTCTTATATAGAAAGTAATTGACTATTTTCACCTTCTTAACTTCCTTCTTTTACCCTCCCTTTCTCATATGCAATGACCTCTCTTAGTGTGACCTGTTTTTCATAATATTGCTGCATTTGTATTAGGTTTATATTCCACATATGAGAGAAAACATGGTGACTTTTGGCCTTCTGAGCCTGGCTAACTTCACTTAAGTTGATGTTCTCCAGTTCCATTAAACGACAAAATTACATTCTTCTTGATGACTGAATAAACTTCCATTGTATATAAACACCATGTTGTCTTAATCCAGTCATCAGTTGTGGGGCATCTTGGCTGTTTCCATAGCTTTCTGGGTTTAAAGCACTGATGTGATGAGCTTTCCTTCTTCTCTGAAGACAGAACTGAATGTGTCAATAGTGCACCAGCAAGAAGAATGGGTATTTCTGGCTCTTCCAGTCAAACATAGCTCAGATATCCAGGGGCTGGTTGAACCCTATCCTAGATGGGAGGAAAACTTGACCAAAGATCTATAAGGACAAAGGAAAATTGTTTGAATAAAGAAAATAATCTCTTTTTCGAAAAGCAAATGGGAGGATATGTGATTTTACTATAGTAAGAGAGCCTGGGAGATCAGGTTGATTGCACCCAAGATGGTTGCAGTCCCATCCACTTATGGGACAAACAGTTGAATCTGGTTTCTGGAGCATCTTCACCAAGTGTGGGTAGAGGCCTGCTGGCCGTGTTGCGCTCAAGGAAGGACAGGACACTACTGAGTTGACAAGGCTGATGACCACACGAGATAAGATATAAACTCCTGGGTCTTCACACATGGTTTCGTGGCCTTGGAAGGTGGGAGACAGATGGAAGGATCGGAAGTGAGGGTCTGAAGCTGTATATTGAACTGAACTCTCCATATTGTATTGGTACAGAGCACATACTTCTATCGAGTGTGTGTCATCAAAGCCTCGTGTTCCCACACTAGAAGGAATAAGGAAGGGGTTGAGATGGTTAGTGGACAGACTCCATCTTCCCAGAGTAGGGAGTGAGGAAACTGGGATTGCAGCCCACATAGCCTACAGAAGAGTCCATCCAAGTGCATCTGGTGGACCTCCTGCCATTCTAAAGTCTCATCTGTCCTTCCCTACTAGGTCACAAATGCGTATATTTTAACAAAATGACAAATGTACCATCAGGAGTGAAGTTCCTTGAGTTTTGTACATAAGAATGGAGTGTAGTGGGAGAAGATGTGAGATTCCCCTGCTAATTGCCCTCCCCAGGGTGGAATCTAGATTTGATCCAACCACAATTAATGTACTGCCCACTTTGTGTCTGTCATCCCCACTGAGGGAGAGACAGTACCCTCCTCATTGAGAAGGTGCTAGTGTGAGAATGCAAGTCAGGGAGGACTTCCAGGAAAAGGGACGTAGTTACTTGTCAGAGCAAACAGTCACTGGGATAAGACGAGCCGAGTGTCCTAGCAGACACCAGAGGTCAGCACCCTGAGACAGGAGACTGTGGTTAGAGATCCTGTGGGAGAATTGGGTCGAGGTGTTGAGATGTGAGACTGGGAAGAGGTGGGTTGTTAGGACACAGTGCACCCCAGGAGTTGTACAGTGAAGAGACCAATTTCCTGATATGTCTTACTGGAAACACAGTGGCTTGTAAAAAAGTCATTTTCACTTTATAGCAGGACTCCACTGTGTGTGGTCATTTGGAATTCTTTTCCTGCTGGAGACATCTGGATGTTTGCTGGGCTGGGTGGTTGTGGATGCTTGTGTTGATGGGTCTTCTCCACTAGTGACCAGAGCACCCTCAGGGGTCTCTCTGTGGCTTTGCCTCCCACCACATGAATCTGGGAACTATACACACTGTCCACATATATTCCAAGAGGATAAATTTTAAACAGCAACTTTCACAATTATTCAGGACATCTCTATGGGAGATCTACAGCAAGGTTGGTGACATCAAAAGTGTCCCTGGGGAACTAAGAGAGACTCCATAGCTGGGGAGGAGCTTCCAGAAGCCAGGTCAAACCAAGGTAGTAACCTAATGACACCTGTTTGAGCACCATATGGAAACAACCCTGCTGTTTCTGGACATTTGTATCTCCTAGAAGTTCAAAGCTATCCCTGGCCATAGTGTGTCTTCATCTTTTGGGGTGGGTTTTAAAAGCAAGAGAGACCATCACTTGTACTTATTTCTAGAATGAAGAAGGACAAAGGAGAGCAGTATGGGAGGAGAACTTGAAAATAATTGAGCTGCACAATGAAGAGTACAGACAAGGGAAACACAGCTTCTCCATGGGACCTGGTGAGTGTGGTGTGCATTGTGTAATCTGTGCTTCCTCTCCTCTGTTTCTTACAAAATGCTCTCTGCTTTGAACATGTTCTTTACTCTTTCTTGAAGACCCATGAAGAATTCAGGAAGACAAGACTTGGCTATCAAACCATGGAGGACGATTGCATGGATTGTCAAGGTGATGTGACTCATGTGAAGGATCAGATATGACACTGTCACATTCAACCCTTCCAGTGCCCACAGAAAAGACAAGAAGGTATTGCCATTTCCTTTAGGAGACTACAAATTGACCTTAGGTTTACCTTTTCTTTTTAGAGAATAGCAGACATCAGAGCTGCTGTTCAGGTCTTGGTATTTGCTTTGTGGTTGATGCCTTTTATTCCCTTTCTAGGGTTAGTGTGTTTCTTGCTAAGCTTTTAGTGTGATTGGGGCCCTAGGAGGACAGATGTTCAGGAAAACTGAGTAGAACCTAGTGGAATGTTCTTCCTCTCAAGGAGATTGTGACTGCACAGATGGGCAAGTCAGTACACACTTCCTGTACCCGATAGATGATGGAGGGCAGGCACAGAGGAATCACCTCTTTAGGACTGCAAAGTAAATGGATCTCTTCACTTTGGTGTCATTCCTGCTCTGGTTGTGCAAGGTGAAACAACCTCAGAGGTAAAAGACTCCTTCCTCAGAATTCCCCTCTAGATGGGAGAATCTGGATATGTCCTAAGTGAGTTCACCCATTATGAAAAATTAACCTGGCAGAGCTCTGGGGTGGTATGGTTAGCACACAGGCAATCTTATTTCCCTGTAACACAGAGCACATGCACACATTGTATATGTAATGCGTTTCTCCACTGTGGAAAAATTCCTATAGAATGTTAGATGAAGCATGTCTTATTAAAGACATATTAGCTATGTTTCGGTATCAAACAGCAGCATGGGATGATTTATAACAGCATTGCTTTGGAAACCCTAAGCTGCAAACTTCTGAGTCCTGGGAACCCAACCCATGTTCAGCGAGGTGGACAGCAATAATTAAGTCTCTTACTCTTTACTTTTCAAAGGGCCGATCCTCAGATTGTTTATCTGAGATCTCTCTAATTTGCTCTTGTGGGTGCTCCTGGCTGTGTACTTCCTTCTTAAATTAGTTGTTACTTTTATGAACACAAATGCTTTGTTCTTCCTATTAAATGGGGAATTTGCTCTTCCTTTAGATGCATGAAGATCTTAAGAGACCAGGACAACCACTGTGGTAGTGCCACACGGTCCAGCTACCCCACTGTGCGAGCTCCTCGTTGGTGATAGGAAGGTTTCAATTGCGGACATCATGACCAGAGGAGGGACTTTATCACCAAGGTGACCAGCTCCTACTGTGTCGGATCCAACGCTTGATAAGTTGTGAGCTCTGACATCTTTGTAGAAGTAAAATGATACCACTATTATAACTGACATAAACACAGTGGTATTAGTGTACATAATGCATTGACTCTCACTTGATTAATGAAATTTAAACTTTGTAAGGATGATACAGCTTTCTCTTTAATACACATTCCATTCTTCTCTGAAGGCAAAATTGAATGTGTCAATGGTACACCAGGAGGAAGAGAGGGTGACTTCCGGCTCCTCCAGTCATACATATGCAGACCTTATCTCAGGTGCCCTGTGTCAAACCCTAACCTTGAGTGGAACAAAATTTGACAAAAGATCTATGAGGATAAAGGAAACTTGTTTGAATAAAGAAAAAAATAATTTTTAGGAAGCAAACAGGAGGATATATGATTTCACTACTATGAAAGGGCCTGGGAGATCGGGTTCATATACCAAGATGGTTGTAGCGCCAACAAGGTATGGAATAAAAGATGTGGATGTAGTTTATAGAACATTTTCATCAACTGCAGCTAAAGTCCTGGAGGCTAATAACAGTCAAGGAAGGACAGGACACTGGTGGGTGGCCAAGGCAGATATGATTCCTGGGTGAAGGCTGTGCTTCACACATGGTTCCATGGTCTTGGAAGGTGGTAGACAGATGGAAGGATCAGAGATGAGGGTGAATCTGCATTAAACCAAGCCACAGGTAATCCTAGAAAAGAGCATCTCTGTTTGAACATAAATTAATAAGGAGAAGTGCTGCCCAGAAACACAGCTTCTTCTCCTGTAGTACATTTGTAAAGTGTCAATTCATGTATTTAAGTAGCTGCTGCTATTTTGAGTGTGTGCCTTCAACAAGTGTCTAGTGGGTCCATTCTTGAGGTGGCACTTGCTGAGCCTGGAGACACAAAGGTCAGATAGATAATGCCGGTTCCCTCCCTTTGGAGCTTCCATTACCTTTGGGCAGCCAACACATCCCAGCATGGTGGGATTCCAGGGCACTGACTTGCATCTGAAAGGGGAGCATAGGACACTGGATGTGTCAGGGTCACAGTGCCCTTTTGGGGTTGCAGAAGGTCTGACAAATGTTCTCTGGTCAAATCTCAGGAGACCTGTGTCATATGTAGTACATGAGATTAGGAGGATGTTTCTCTGTGCTGTGTGAACTTCAATTTTGAATTAATGAACTTTCAGTGAAATTTTGTCATTTGCAAATAAGTGAATGGAACTGGAGAACATCATCTTAAGTGAAGTTAGCCAGGCTTAGAAAGCCAAAAATAGCATGTTCTCCCTCATGTGTCGTTTATAGACCTAAAACATGCAGTATTATTATTGTACATGGGTTACACAGTAAGGAGAGAAGTTAGGAGGAATAGGAAAAGGGAAGAAAACCCAAAACTTGAATGTGGTTGATGTGCTCCTCTGTAGAGGAGTGAATAAAGTAATCCTAAAGTGGCAGAGGCCACAATGGGAAGGGGACCAGGAAGTAGAGAAGAGGTCTGGCAGAGATGAACCAGTGTGTTTTGTAATACACAAGTACATGGAAGCAACAGTAGGAATCTCTTGGTATAGCTATCTTTATCTTAAACTAGCAAAAGCACTATGTCTTTTTTATTATCTCCTATGTTTTCTCTTCAACAAAAATCAGAGAACAAGAGGGCAGAACAGGTTCTGCCTGGAAGTGGGGTGGGTAGGGGGGAGGTGGCCTAAATGTATACACGTGAATAAATGTAAAAATGATTTAAAAAAAAAAAACCAAAAACGTAAGAAAGTATTTTGCAAAATAAAAAGAATTGTGGAGAGAAAAAAAAGATAATGAACTTTCATCTATTTCATGGGCTAACATATGCAGAAATATGTAGTTCTAGAAAAATAATTGATAAATCAGATGGAAGAGGACAGGGAGAGCAAAAGGATCTTCAGTTCATAACAGCAAGTCTGCAATTGGAGAGTTTGTTCCTGTGATTCACAGTGACCATCCCCAGCTCCTCTCACACAGCGTGGACAGAGGAACCAGTACTGGCCAGTTGACCTCAGTGCAGGCCGTACAGGTGTCAGCACCCAGTACCTCTTGACAATGTTGTGGTCCAACTTACTGTTCCAGTCCAAGAAAAATAGGAAGATAATTTTGTTCTGGGCTAAAGGACAGAAAGACGGCTAGGGAATATAATGTTCTAATAAGACTGTTTTGCTGGTTTCATTAATGATCCCTTTGGTAACAAAAAAAGTAAAGTAATTGTCTCATTTCTCTTGTAAAAGGAGACCAATTAGTCATTGTTGACAGACTCAATGAAAGCTTAAAATTTAATACCCAACTTGCGGGGCACAATAGCAAACTTCTGTAATCCTAGCTGAGGCTGAGATCAGGAAGATAGGTGTTTGAGGCCTACCTCAGCACAGGAATGAAAGACCTGTCTCAAGCAACAGTGGGAGGCACCCTACCCTATGAGCCACACCTCCAGTCAGTTTTGTTCTGGTTATTTTTCAGATGGGGTCTTTTCTGCCCAGGCTGGCCTAGAACCATGATCTGAATCTCATCCTCCCAGGTAGCTAGAATTACAGGCCAGTGGCGCCCAGCTAATTCTTCTGTTTCTTACTTTAATTCTGGCATTTCCTCTGCTTCTGTGTGGTTGTTCCTCTTGTTTTCAATTTTGGACAGTATCTTTTGACTCCTAAATAGAAAGGTGATTTGGCTCACATGCTCCACCCCTTCCTCTTTGCCCTCTCCTTTTTTCTTTTCTTTTTTTGGTAATACTGGGATTTGAACTCAAGGCCTGGCACTTGTTAAACAAGTGGTCTACTACTTGAGCCATGCCTCCAAGCCCCTTGCAACTGCTTTATCAAGATCTAATTCCCATACCATCTATTTTCTGTGTTAAACTGCACAGCTGAGCAGTTTTAAGGATATTCACAAAGATGACGGCCACCTCTAAATGCAGCGTGCACCATTCCTAAGTGCAGAACAGGTTCGTCCTCCCTCCAGAGGAAAACCCCTCCATTGTCAGCACTCCTCATTCCTCTCTCCTCCAACCCCTGACAGCAACCTATTTTCCTCATCATCACTAGTGGTTTTTATTTGTTTGTCTTTTTCCTTTTCTTCTTCTGTGATGGTACTTGTGTTTGAACTCTGGCCCTTGAGCTTGACCCTTGAGCCACTCCTCCAGCCCTTTTTGCTTTAGGTGTTTCCTTGTAGTTTTTTTTTTTTTTCTTTTAATGGGTCTCAATTTTTGCTCTGACTGTCTTGGAGCTTCAATTCTCCTACCTGTGCCTCCCATGTAGCCGGGATGACAGGCATGTGCCACCATGTCTGTCTTATTTGTCTCAATAACTGCCTGGGCTTGCTTTGAAACTCTATCTTCCTACCTATGCCTCCTGAGTAGCTGGGATTATAGGTGTGAACCATAACTCCGGGCTTGTTTTCTCTTGTAGTCATCTACGGATGTAACATAAGATCTTACTGTGGGTTTGAGTTGCGTTTTCCTAATTACTAATATTTTGAGCGTCTTTTCATGAGTTTATGTGTCATTTAGGTATCTTCTTCAGAAAAATATCTATACAAATCTTTTGTCTATTGTGTATTCAACTTAAGTTTAAGAACTTTATATCTTTTAGAGACTCTGCCCTTATCAGATATATCAGATAGCTGATTCACATACATTTCCTCCTGGCCGAGGATTATCTTCTCACTTTCTTGATGACATTTTAGAATCACCAAAGTTTTCAATTTTGGTGAGGTTGTTTACTCATGTTTTCTTCTAAGGTTTCTACATTCTTAGCTCTTACATTTAGGTCTCTGACAAGGATTGTGCTCAGTCTGTGGGCCACTTTGGGAACCTGTCATTTTAGCAATATTGTCTCCCAATCCAGCCTGGCACCAGTGGCTCATGCCTGTAATCCCAGTTACTCAGGAGGCAGAGATCAGGAGGATCATGGTTCGAAACCAGCCCCAGGCAAATAGTTCTCAAGACCCTATGTTGAAAAACCCATCACAAAAAAGGGCTGGTGGAGTGGCTCAAGTAGTGGAATGCCTGTCTAGCAAGCATGAGGCCCTGACTTCAAATCCCAGTGTTGCCAAAGGGAAAAAACCTCCCTCAAATATTACTTCCATTTTCAATATTTTGTTACTTTTCAATTTTCAATGCGGTTGTGAATGGAATTATTTTCCTAATTTCATTTTATTGTTATAGACATACAATTGATATTGTATTTTTTTGGTGGATGTGGGGTTTGAACTCAGGTCTTTGCACTTGCAAACAGGTGCTCTATGGCTTGAGCTACACTTTCTTTTGTGACAGGGTCTCACTCTGAAGGCCAGGTTGGCCTCAAACTCACTAGTCTCTTACCTCAGCCTGCAGAGTGCTGGGATTATAGGCCTGTACTACTGTGCCAGCCTCACATCTAATTTTTGTATATTGATTATGTATCCATGCTGGTGGAGTGACTCAAGTAGTAAAGTGTCTGCCTAGCAAGCACAAGATGCTGAGTTCAAGCCCCAGGGCTGAAAAAAAAATAGAAAAGGAAAACGAGTTCTATGCATGTGTGTGCCTGCACCACCCATGCACTAGAATTTTCTATGTACAAGACCATGTCATCTATGAATAGAGATAATTTTACTTCTTTTACACACTAGGATTTTTTTTTTTTGGCAGTACTGTGGTTTGAACTCAGGGCCTCATGCTTACTAGGCAGGTGCTCTATCACTTGAGCTACTTGGCCAGCCCTTTTTCGTGATGGGTTTTTCAAAATAGGGTCTTGAGAACTATTTGCTGGGGCTGGTTTCGAACCACAATCCTCCTGATCTCTACCTCCTGAGTAGCTGGGATTACAGGCGTGAGTAACTTAGGTTTCTCTTGTTGTTTTGTTTTGGCAGTACTAAGTATTGAACTCAGGGCCTCACGCTTGCCAGACAGGTGCTCTGCCACTTGAGCTATGCTGTATG